GATTAAACCCGCTGCTCCTCCACCTCGAGAGGAGCCAGCTTAGGTGGCTCGGGCATCTTTTTCGGATGCTTCCTGGGTGCCTTCCTAGGAAGTGTTCTGAGCATGTCCCACCAGGAGGAGGCCCCGGGGAAGACCCAAGACACGTTGGAGGGACTATGTCTCTCAGCTGGGAACGCCTCGACATTCCCCCGGAGGAGCTGGAGGAAGTGTCTGGAGAGAGGGAAGTCAGGGCATCTTTGCTTAGACTGCTGCCCCCGCGACCTGGTTCCGGATAAGCAGAGGAAAATGGATGGATGGATGGATGGAGCCTCAGAAGAGTTAAAAATAAAAGCAAGTCTGGTTGGTAAACTGAAAATAAACCTATAGATTATGGCAACCCCACCACCTTTTTTAGTATCCTCATTGGTTCACTCAGGTGGAGATGATTTATTAAGTGATAAGGAAACATTTGTTTAAGCCATGCTTCACATAAGCTAGTCATATTGAGATTATGCTGAAGAATCAAATAATTTATCAGTGAGGACTGAGTAGACAGTAATCTGATAGTTACTAGACTGAAACTGAAGGTCTTGTTGAGGCAGGAGTTTTCAGAACCAGGAAATGTGTAGAGCTAGTAATAGAATATTCATTAATTGGAATAAAACATTTTCAATCTGCAGTAGAAAATGTTGGTGGCCTGCACATGCAGCACTGTGGAGATAGGTCCAGCTGTGATGTGATACTTGGTAATACCACACACACTACCGTATGCGCGTGTTTTTTGTCCCAGGACAGCCGTGGCAGCAGCAGCAGCAGCATGTTGAGTCAGCAGGTGGTTTCTGCATCTCCCGTGTCTCCTCTGGGCTCTGCTGGCATCCCCACACCAGCCCAGCTCACCAAAACCAACGCGCCTGTCCATATCGATGTAGGAGGACACATGTACACCAGCAACCTGGCCACCCTCACCAAGTACCCTGAGTCACGGTGAGAGACACACAGCAGCTATGAAAGAACAGTCACTTAAAACTTCAACTACTGAAAACATACTGAAAGCATACCAAGGTGTTTGCTTTGGTAGTCAAAGTTGTTGTGGTAGTCATATTTTAAATATTCCATTCATTTAAAAAGAGCTAAATACACACACACATAAAACCTTAAAATTGAATACATTAATTTCAAAAGTCCTAGTTAATGAATCAAGTACATTTTAACACTCCTATTGGGTGTTATGACACCCAATACTAGGTGAGAGAGAAACGGTATTTCGATTTTCTGTATGTCCTGCACATATGGTGAATTGACAACAAAATCCTTGAACCTTGAGAAGTATGTGATATTTCCCCTATTAATTTGAAATATGTAATAATACTTTATCAAACTAAAGTACCCCATGGCTCTGTTCGTGGCACTCTGCTTTTTACACTTTCAACTCAGTAATCGGTGCTGGGGAGTAGTGAGCTGCATGTATTTAAACTAGTAGTTGAGCAAACTAGTAGCAGAACGTGATGCTGGTCATTTGGTTATCATGATGCCAGAAAAACAAAAGAACAGACCCAGAGGTCTGTACAGATATTTACAAGTGATGACAAAAAGGCAGGAATACTGAAATACTAGAACTAGTAGTTCACCAAACGGTTGGTGAACTTTTGTCTAGGTTGGCTACAGCTATGTGCTATTTTTTAGTGCAGAGTGTGTGTAAAGCTAGAGGTGCTACATGAAAAATACCCAAGTCTGAGAGGTTTCCCCTAGTTTTACTTGGTTACCAAGTCCAGGGATGTAATATTTGCCTCGGTCTTTAAGTGGTAAAAACATCGAGGTTGTAAAACGTTACCTGTACCATGTTTCTGTGCTATTTCAAATACTGATTAACAATCAGGAGACCACTAACAAGTTTTTTATTGTATAGTGTATGTATAAGCAGAAGTCACATTGTAAAATAAAGTGTAAAAATGGGTTTTATTATAATCTTAATAAAAACCAAGTGAAAACCTTAATAGGCAGCCATAATACATTTATTTTTCAAGGTGCTAGAAGTGATGCTGGTCATTTGGTTATCATGATGCCAGAAGAATATAATTACTGCACAGTTAGGGTAATTAAGAGAAATTAGACGTCCTTTCCTCCGTTATGTCCTTAATACATCCATGATTCTTCTGACCTGTGATCTTAGGCAACATCAGCAGAGAGCAACAAGAGCTTAGTACCTTTGAATCTAAATGTGCACAAATAGGCCTAATGCCATTACCCAAATTAAAATAAAGGTGCTGTTAGAGTCGCTCACACACGTGAGGGTGAGTGAGCGAAAACAAAAGAACGGACCCAGAGGTCTGTACAGATATTTACAAGTGAAATGACAAAAAGGCAGGAATACTGAAAATATATAATCTATGGAACTGGGTGTCGATCAGCACGATACTGTCATTATTGGAATGCGGAGAAGCCGGGCCGAGCTGCGGAAACAGAACAGGTCACTCACTAGCTGGCCGGTTGAGGTGAAGCCAGCTGTTTAGACAGAGTAGAGGATGGTGGTGAAAAAAGGCAGATTGTAGGACTGTGCATCGACCTGGCTGGTGGAGACTGGAAAGGCGAGGAGGTGTATGGTCCGGGGATGGTGGTCTGTGGTTACAGTGGTGAGGAGCAAGAGAGGTGAAACGAGGAACCGGGGAAGACAGGAACAAATCCAAGGTATGGACGGGTGGTACGAAAACAAACAAAAACAATAGTATATACAAAGAGGAGATATTCAAAGTGGCACTGGTTGTCTGCATGGGAGCTATGATGAACTGGCAAAGCAGTGGTATGTGAGCAGGGTATAAATAAGGTGAAGGACTAATTGAATGCAACTGGTGTTGATTGGGGAATGTGGCGTGATCCAAAACCGAAATCAAAGAGAGGAAGGTGACAGAGGCAGTTGTAGCCGGGCAAACCTGACAGGTGCACAGTTACTACTGCCAGTGCAGCAGCATGAAAGTTCTCTGCATATTTCCCTTAAACAGTTTTACAAGCATCTACACTTTAAGCACAACATGCATGTTGTGAACACCAAACCCAAGTTTGTAGTACTCTATTTTGTCATTATAATGTAAGCAAAGCTTGGAGTGAGTGACATCAGTGCACACATTGTCTTTGAACAGCACCTCCTCATCTCATTCACTTCAGCAGCCTCTCTCTCATCAACACAGTGACCAGCGGTGGACTCCTGTACTCCAGTCGGTCCTTGAGAATCACTGATCTGACACTTAAATCCACACACAACAGTTAGCCCACAAAATAACACGACCGCAGCTCATGAGCCGTGATAAATAAAAACTACCCGCACATGTCCTGATGATATTACAGGCTTTACTGACAGCAGGTAAAGTCAGTGTGCGGCTGCTGTCACTCGCTTCAAGCTGTGCAGGGCTCATGTTATGATCCACTGACTTGGGATGCGTGACATCATATTAGATAGTGTTATGTTCGCTCGGAAACGGAGGAGAGCGAGTAAAGAGAGGCGGACCCAGGTAGCTGACTTCGGTGCAAGCAGTGCTAAATTTATTTATAGTGTAGTGAGTAAAAAGTCCATACAATAACAGGCAGTGTAGAATGAAGTGAGTAACCAGGTGTCAATCAGCGGCAGAGAAACCAGTTTATGGTGAGATGGATGGGAAGGGCTGAATAGGTCCAGGGTCCGGAGGAGACATCTGTGGAGGAGGAAAATAGCAGAAAGAAAGTGTGGTAACGGAGAGTGGAAGATCGTAGTGGTCGGAGCTAGGAGAACTAAAGGTGAGAGACAAACAGTAGCATGCATGAAAAACAATGATAGAACGGGCCTGAGAACTAGAATAAACTGGCAAGGGAGTGACAGGTGAGCGGGGTATAAATAGGGATAGAAATAATGAAGTGCAGCTGGTGATAATCAGGGGATGTGGAGCAGGTGTGCTAGGTGGTGTAATCAGGGGCCAAAAAAGAGAAAGAGTGAGAAAGGCAGGTGCAGTGGGCAAACTTGACAGATAGCTCCTCGGGCCATACGTTTGAAACTGTATTTTTATGTACATGTTGATCGTGCATTGACCACCAGACACTAGTGAGCAAAATCATTTTTAACAATGTAGGCATGGTGCATACAGGATTATGGCTGCAGGCCCCACTGAAACATATATACAACACTGAACACTATTCAACTAGAAGAGTTGAACAATTGACAGAAATATCTCATCAGGTATACTTTCTATACTTTGCTATGTGGCTCATCAGGTGTTGGCAGTAAGTGTGTTAATGCACTTAGTTTGTTTAGTAGATGTTCCCATGACTCGCTGTTCACTGACTTCTTGCTGTGATTCTGCAGTATGTCTGATTCTCTGATCTTTGTAGACCGCTGCTAGTGCACATACAGTATGTTGCTTTCCAAACTCACTTCTAAATCTGCTTTGAAGTTGGCACATGGCTTTCAGTATGTCTTCCCCATACTGGCTGTGTAACTGTTATCATTCAGTCCAGTAAGCACTGGCCCATAAACTTAAGCACTTCATTGCCTTCCATATAAAAAGCTTCTCATACTGCCCATTTCTGGATTCTGTCCAACTGGTGACACATATGGCTGCCTTGGTAGCTGCTCTCTCATGTGTTTGTTGTTTTTCTTTATTTTCTTCGTCTTTTGCAACCCATCCCGTATCACTTTCATCAGAGAAGAGCTACTAAAACATCAAACAACTCACTCTGAACACCTTTTCTCTGATTTTTACTAATGCAAACCGCTGTGTGGACATTCTGGTCGGAGGAGCTGCAGCCCTCTGTGAGACCTGGAGAAAACACCAGCAAAGGAAAAGAACAGGGGCCCTGGTTAAGCTACAACAAAGAGGGACCTGCACGCTGCTCCCATCTATCCATCTAGCAAATCTCTGTTCTCTAGACAACAAAATGGTTGAACGTCTTCTCGGGCTAACTCTGACTTCTCACGCTCTGCTGCTCTGTGCTTCACAAAGACTTGGCTTAGTGACTTAGACAGCACAATACAAATACTGGGGTTCCCGATATACAGAAGACTGCATAACAGAGTTATCGGAGCAAACGAGAGGAGTAAAACTCAAGCATCTTTGTTGTGCCAAAGAGGAGGCCTACAAAAGTGGGGACAAGGTCCTGTACAGGCAGCCAGGAACACAATAGCAGGGGAGATCAGAGTAGCAAAGAGGAGCTGCTCTGAAAAGCTCAAAAAACAGTTTTCAGCCAACAAACCCTTGGCTGTGTGAAGAAGCCTAAAAAATGACACTGGCTACAGGACTATTCTGTTTCTGTTTTTTGTTCTCTCAGTCTTTTCTTGTTTACTTGTCTACTCGTTGCTTTATGGAAGAACATTCTACATGCACATTCCTGGCGAGTAAAGCTGATTCTGATATAAATCTTAGTTTGGTTAAGATCTTATCAAAAGTTCTTATCAACATCTTAGCTAGTCTTAAGTCAGTACATTTTAAAGAAAACATTACATACTTTGTTTCACAAATAAAAAGTTGAATTTAATAGTTGTACGTACGAAATGAACCTATCTCGTTTCATTGCACTCGGGTGTTTTACTGCTCCAGTCTTGGTCTGGCGTGACAGGTAGCTTATAGTGACTAATGCTAGCTAATGTAAACTGTAGCTAGACATGGCTTTGCAACTTAGAATAGCACTGACTTTGCTTTGCTTTGGAAGAAAGACCACTGTCCTCAGATCTATGTAACAATGCACTGTCAACTCACCAGGAAAGCATTTAAGCTGGTGAGGAAGGGCGAGGGAGTGATTGCACTGATCAAAAATTCTTTCAAAATACATAGTCCACTGTATTAAAACAGGCATACCGATTTACTGTACTGTACATTGGTTAGAAGTTAAGCAGTTCTCAAGTGTGATCGCAGACATGTTAGCCTCCTCAGCATTTGCTTGGTGTCTGATGAAGAGGCCTCAGTGTCTTTGTCTTGTTTCTGGCAGGATTGGTCGTCTGTTTATTGGAACAGAGCCCATAGTGCTAGACAGTCTAAAGCAGCACTACTTCATCGATCGAGATGGCCACATGTTTCGTTACATACTTAACTTCCTCCGGACCTCCAAACTTCTCATCCCTGATGACTTCAAGGTGAGTGTTTGCCTAGAGCTTTGCTCTTGTACTACTGTACTGTAATGTGTCTGAACAGTTCCCAACCAGAGAAAGACTGTAAGAGGAGGGATTCTCACTGTTGCCACTAGTCCAGAGGCACCTCAGCCTTTAGAGTGCTTACAGGAACTATTGTGATAAATTACTTGAGAGAATATAGTTGCATCTATGACTCAGAACTTTTCAGACACAGTCAGGGTGTTGTACAGTCAGTCACTGAGCAATGCCTTGCTATCTATCAAGTATGCTTCTTTTGTTTTGTATGTTTACTTTGCTGTAGTAACTTTCCATATAATTTTCACATTCCATATGTATTAACCTTTATTTGCTATTATTTTTATTTAAAAAACAATTTAAATGCATTTATAGTTTGCAATAGTTTAGTCTATTAAAACACGTGATTTTTATCTGCCATAGCAAAGTAATTTTATATATATTTTTATTAACTATATATTGTTACACTGTACTGTATTTAACATGTTACTATGCATTATACCTTGACATGCATCATGCTTTTCCACCCTAACTAAATCCAAAAAGTATTTCCATTCAACAGCCTGACTGCATTTATATATGGTTTGACACAAGTATAAAAAGTATTTACATTAACTGTAGCTGAATATTTGCACCAAGCTACTGTAGGCTTCCCTCGGGCCTCAACTACAGTTGAAGGAACATTAACTCTCCTTACTTTCTTGTTCATCGTCGCAGTTATGGGACCCACATGGGACCTAGATGGTGTGTGGATTTTTTTTTATGTGATTATAGCATTATTACAAATTGTGATGGTGAACATCATTTTTTGCAGAAAAATGAAATTTAGCACAGTGTATTTGTTGCTTTCAGTCATTTTACTTCCCCCGAGAGGCACTAAAGTAGATCATTTTCAAACTGCAGAAGGTACAGATGGAAAAAAACAGGTCAACATCAAACAGGAATGCAGAGATAAAACACTACAAAGTCACAGAAGATATTTCTTTGTGGACAGTCTGGTAGGGAATGAGTGGCTGCTGGCATATATATTAAGTGACAGCTACACAGATAGGAAGCGTAGATGGAGCTGGGTCTAGAATAACAGCAAAAATGTGGCGGACACCAGATCAGGACTGGGATTGCGACACATGCATATTGGTTTTAACAGCGTACTAGTGAGTTAAGATTTTGTAGCAAAGCAGGACTGAACATGACATTTGCATCTCAGCTAAACATTTATTTATTGACTGGCTACATATGAATGCGTTTATTTGACTTTGTTTTGGCAAAACATTCAAATGTGTAGGCAACAATGTTACCAT